TCGCTTGCGCGTAGGGGTCTTTAGCAGGAGGAGAAAACCGGAGGACCCGGAGAAAACCCACGAGGGTGGACAGGCGACCCTACTCCTTGTCACGTACAACCGGGGATTCGAAACCACGCCAGTTGACTCAATGACAGGCCTTATGATACAGCACGCACGTGCTAACCATTCAGCCATCCAACCCCCCGGGAGATGATCGATGGTACGGATTCGTTCTTCCTTGTACAATGGGCAAAAGAAGAAAACGTGTTGTGTATTTTCCATGTAGTAGCCCCATTCACATGAAGGGTTTTCGGAGACATCAATTTGAAATTTATCTAATTATCATTGAAGCAAATATTTAAAGAATAATTTGCATTTCTAATAATAGATACCGAAAACACAATTTAAATATATATGATTAATATAGATAATATAGATTTATTATTTACAACCATGTTAAGTAAATATAGATGAAAGGTACCGATTTGACTATCTGCCGTGTTATGCAAACATTTAATCAGCTTGTTAAGTAACAATAATTAACTAGAAAACTGTCTTGATTGACTTGTATCACTCCTGTCTAAGATTCTGACCAAGGTGACACTACTGAAATCTATATAATAGACGAACGAAGTATTATTGTAATATCATTCAACTGTTAATATTTAGTATATCGTTACTTTTAAATATTTAATAAAAACATGTATTCCAGTAATTCGTCTCTTATTGAAAGTAGCCAAGTTGATTACAGCTGTCGTTCGCACGGTAAGGTATATTTAATTAAAGAGTTGAAGACATTTTAAAAATAAATCTTATAGTTTCATATTGAATTAATTGATCACATACCATTTGGTTTAAACTATTATCAATGGACAGTATATCCAATGTAATATTAGTCAAAGTAGGAGGCACGAAATATGCCAGCCGAACAATAGCTAGAATAATAAACAGTCTAGAAAGTGATAAGCATACCATGGCTCGTGCTTGACACCGACCACTTACAGTTTGCTAATTACTATTCAAACAATGCAATCTGTTCAATGTATGTTCTTCAAGCAATAATCCAAAGTCTCATCATATATTTGAATGTATCAAAAGCCAATTACGAAAAATAAATATTGTATGAAAAATTATCTTTAATTAAACGTTATTTTTTTTTCTCCAGTTAACATAAGTCTGTCATCTGGATATGAATCTTATTACAGCTGTCAATCAGAAAGAGATGCCTCCCCAGCACCATGTGATTCTACTAAAGAAATGATGGTGTTTAAAAGTAGAGAATCTTTGTGTGATAATCTAGATTATATTCTCTCTATGAGTGAATTATGTGATGTAGTGTTTTTAGTAGGAGAGGAGAAGATACCAGTTTATGGTATAAAAGCTATTTTAGCTACCAGAAGCCGTGTTTTATATCAGTTGATTCTTCACAACCAACGTGAGGTCAAGGTCAATCAGAAGAAGGTTAAATGTGAACAGTTAAAAGATAAACTGGTGATAGAGATGAAGAATTATGATGAAGAAGTATTTAGAAGATTTATCAGTTTTATTCACTGTGGTAAAGTTAATGTGGATATTGACACTGTTATAGGTAAGTAATTCACTTTGTAACATAGGCCTAAATATCACCATAACTAACTTTTACAATATTTATATATTTCATCGCCATGTTAAATGTGTTAATATCGCTCAAGCGGGATTTCAGCTGACATCATTCGCATGAAACTCGGCTTTGGTCGATCGGCATTTCTTTCTTTGTGTAGTAAAATTGACCAGTCCCTCTTATTAATAATGGACTGGGCTAATTTTTATAAGGAATTTTATTCTATGGCCAAGTAAGTCTCTGATTAGTACCTTCTGTGTTTCAATGTAAGAACAACTGAATAACAATTACCTTTCTGTATTTGTAATGAGCATCCCAGTGTAGAAATTCTTGGATGTATCTTGTCTGTGTAATGCGCATTCCCGTGTAGAATTGCTTGGATGTATCTTGTATTTGTAATGAACAACCCAGTGCAGAAATGCTTGGGTGTATTCTGTGTTTGTAATGAACAATCCCATGTAGAATTGCTTGGGTGTATTTTGTATTTGTAATGAGCATTCCAGTGAAATAATGCATGGATGTATTAACACATTCTATGGTTCGATCTCCCAAATATATAACGTATATTATTTCTAACTTTCAATATTGCAGGTTTATTCTGTGCTTCCGTAGAATTAGGAATTAAAGATCTTCGTACAGCATGTTGGAATTTCTATCTTAGATGTATTGATAATGACGTAGACGTGTTAATGACGTCAGTATGTAAATATAAGAACCATAAAGCTATGAAATTCATTTTGGATAAGGTAAGAATTACATTTATGAGTACAATATTTTAGAATCTATATGACATTTCCCTACACCAGCATTAACGTCTAACACCGTCAACGCCAGTTACCTTGTTTGTTGCCATTGATATGATATGTAACAATGTTCTACAAACACATTCAAGATCCACAGCATACTTTAATTGTTTTGATGAATGTATAAATATAAATATTCCTTTTCTTATTCTGCAGTTGTTTGAAGTAAAAGAAGTTTGAACATAAGCTCTTCCACCCAAATGCACTAACATATTGGATATTCAGCCAATAACGATAGCGATCACGCTACCCGAATATATAAATTATTCAACTCTCGTTAGGCGATAAATTGTGTTAATAATATACAGTATTGTTATTTTAGTATTGTTGCTTTATTTATTTATGTTACATTGCATTTGAAAATATAAATATTCCTTTTCTTATTCTGCAGTTATTTAAAGTAAAAGAAGTTTGAACGCAACCTCGTCCACCCAAATATTGGATATTCAGCCAATAACGATAGCGATCACATTACCTGAACATATAAAGCATTTGACTCTCGTTAGGCGATAAATTGTGTTAATAATATATAGTATTGTTATATTAGCATTGTTGCTTTATTTATTTATGTTACATTGCAATTAAGGAATAAAACATTCAATTATTACTCTTTCTCTAGACTTTATTTATTTTCTGGTCTTGATCGGCATTATACCATGTGTAATGATTACTTCCATTAATATGATGAACAAAAGTGCAGTGTGAGGAGTGTGTTATCAGCCATTAACCACGCGTCTAACTCTCAAATTATATACCAACATCACGTCCTTGACAGGACAAGCTGCTGGTACTACATTTTTGTTTTAGTAAATACATTTAATATCGGAAATGTCTACATCGACCTCGATGTTTCATCACATCCGAACGACCAGACGTTGTCCTTGTCAGGCCCCCAGCCTGCACCATTGACAACGGGAGTCCACATTTGACAATCGTAGGGAACTGTCTCCGCCAACATCCTTGTTTCATCACATCCGAACGACCAGACGCTGTTCTTGTCAGGCCCCCAGCCTGCACCATTGACAACGGGAGTCCACAATGACAATCGTAGGGAACTGTCTCCGCCAACATCCTTGTTAGTGAGCGAGCACCTAACCCACTGAGCCACAGGGTGGCTCCATAAAATTAACAAACTCAGTACACGTAGTTTAATAATACTTTTTAGGAATTGCGTTAGTAAAAATCAAAATGACTAATTTCGACTCGTGCATGAATTCATGATAAGATCAAATAAAATGATTTAACCATTAATGAGAAAAGAAAAGGTTTTTGGGTCAAAGGAAAATAATTATCAATATGTGTTGATTTTTTAGTGCTCATCCTGATGATAAGATGCCAGTTTAGAAAATATTCTTGGATCTTTCTCTCTAGCGGGTTTGCAAGATTTTCATGTCAAAATAATCACAGAAATGTTCCGATTTTCGCAAATTGTTTGATATTATTTCTGTCTATAACACGTTTAATAGGTTTTATTGAAGTGGAAAATAACTCTCTGTACATAACTGTACATCGCTACGACGACCTTGTATAAACCTCCTCTGAAAACGAAACCTGTGGACGGTCGTAGGGTCATCCGACGTCAATGACGGGAACATACTATTAAAATAGCTCATCATACTTAATTAAATGTCAATTTCATTGATTCTTTTTTTTTCTATTTGAAAACTGGTATTTAGGAGTTTATTTTCGAAGGACAATCAAAGCTTGTTACTGTGCCCGTAACACAGTTTGTTATAAATTTAGCATTCTTTGAAGTATTATTTTAGATTTCTAATCATCCACTATTTATTTCAAACACAATTTAATAGCAAGAACAACAATGATTAATTCTGTAAATAGGATTTGAATGTTTGTAATTAAGAATAAATTCTTATTACTTTGCTATGTATTGAGGCGAGTTTTATTGTTTCACATTGGATAGTGGCATTGGCAAAAAGACATGAGATGCAAATTTGTTGTTACATCATGGGTGATTTGGAATCTGGCCCACATTTATCGCTCTGTATCCATGCTTTATAATCGAATCGGTTATGTACATATTTAAATATATATATTTGAACTTATACAGCCCGTGATACATAGGACCAACATGGGAATCATAATCACATTAGATGTTCTGGGACGGCAAGATAAATAACTCAATAATTATCTTATTTATTCCCGATGTTCACAAACTATTGTATTTAAACATTCACGCCCCATAAAAAGTCCATTTACAATTCTACATCGACGGTGCGAATTTAATGAATACGATTATAGGACTTCAACTGTCGTTCTGTTCTATTTTGCAGCCTGAATGTGTAGATAATGATACAAAAGATTTCTTCAAGTAAAATTTATTTCCATTGCTTAACAGTAACAACATATATATAACAATAAATCAATAAACAGGTTTAACAATTCCCAGCACAATTCTTATGAAATTGCAAGTTATGATTTAAAACTTGATGTCAACTATAGCTTACAAAGTAAACATTGTTTGTTTTTTGATATCTGATTTTGCTTTGATTTCAATTCCACAAATCAAAGGGAGCACCTTTAGGTGTGGCTGTACGAGTTGATCTGATATTCGTCAACTGATGACCCTTTGATTTCTCAACTCTCTAACCATACGTAACTTTCAAAAAATCAGCAGGTGGCACTGCTATGGAACCAATCATGGTGATATTCCTGGAACTGATCAAATTCTATGTAGATTTTCAAACACCTTTAACGTCATATATCTGAAAAGTATCAAATATTAATTAGTTATAAATTACATTGCGGTTTCAGATGTATCGTTGTAAGTTATTCAAGGGCCAATATGTATACACCTCCTTGGTTGGGAATTGGCTTTAAATAATATGGTTAGAATTGAAGAATCTTCAATATGATATCTATTTGGAAGACTAAAATTCCAGGGGAATTAAATGGCAATAATACCTATTCATTATTATTATTAGATAGCTTCTTACCTTATTTAAGATATATTTCATTCCTCTGTAGTCTTTGTTTCTATATTGATCTACTGACGTCATCAGTGCATCTCTCTGGTTCTGGAAACACCGAAGAAAATAGTCCCAGCATGCTTTACGCAAATCTTTTATGTCATATTCAACAGAAGCGCAAAATAATCCTGAAAAGATGAGAATTAATTTAGTAAACAGACTTATTATAATGTGTATCATATTGTACAAAGATCTATTTCATACAAATATCTATCAAATGCATGTGTTTCGAATAATGATGTTAAATGTTGTTAAAAGATTTAATATCTGGTTATTATCAATATTTCCGTTCTTCAAAATATTTTTGGACCACGAACTGTCGCCCAACCGATGCCCATCTTCTTGTTGTTGTTCTTGGGAGTGACGGTCTTCGAAAAATGATTAAACTGCGGAAATTAATGAAACGATCGATATGAAACCTGGTATACGGGTGCTTGGATTATTGCGCAGTAATTGACGGACTTCCATTTGGGATATGACGTCACATATTTTAGATGATTGTGGTGCCGTCTGGTTCATAGAACGGCGGTACTTGTTTATAAAAGAGCCTCGCCCTTCTTGTATTTATGAATGCAGTTTCTAAAACTGACCGGTGATGCATATACATAAAACCACAACTTACCTATAACAGTAATGATATCCACCTTGATTTTACCACAGTGAATAAAACTAACAAATCTTCTAAATACTTCTTCATCATAATTCTTTATCTCTATCACCAGTTTACCTTTCAACTTTTCACCTTTAACCTTTTTCTTATTGACCTTGACCTCACGTTGGTTGTGAAGAATCAACTGATATAAAACGCGACTTCTGGTAGCTAAAATAGCTTTTACACCATAAACTGGTATCTTATCCTCTCCTACTAAAAACACTACATCACATAATTCACTCATAGAGAGAATATAGTCTAGATTATCACACAAAGATTCTCTACTTTTAAACACCATCATTTCGTTAGTAGAATCTCGTGGTTTTGGAGAGGTATCTGTTTCTGATTGATAGCCGTCACAAGATTCATATCCGGATGATCGACTTACATTATCTGGAGTATAAAAATATTTTTCATTAACATAATTTATAATTAATTCGGTACATATTCTGATCTAACAATCGGATTTTGATAACCTAGAGTTACTTATTTAAAGCTTCGATGATACAACTAGTAAAACAAACACAATGACCTACCATCGGAACCGTAGTCATCATAATTTTCAAGCTGCTCAAATTTCAGGAGATCAGGAGATGAGCTGCTGGAATCCATCTTGACGAAGAATAATTTGAAGAAGTTGTAAAATCCTTATGTTATAGACAGATGCTATTATCCAAAGAGATCCACACAGAATGAATGATGCAGAACCAAACGCTGAACCAGAATTTATTACACAGTTGGTGTCAAAGGTCACACGTGACGCGTGGCATAGATCATTTGAGGTTAAGATTTATCCAAATAATTGACATTGATTATATGTTGTTATAGTGACTGTCAATCAACTGACAGGTTTGTTTGTACAACTGATTATATATTTTATATAGCGTATGTAAAATATCAACACCATGTCTTAATCCATTTACACTTTTCTGTTTTATTTCCCCCCGTTCTACTGTTGTCAACTCCTTTCAGACATTACACCCTTATTTACCCTATTCTAATGCTGCTAGCTTCATTGAATAAACCTAATATAGATAATTTAAAATATTTATGTAGTTTATATAAAAAAATGAATGTTAATTGATTTGTATCTGACTTGGATTAATTTTGTAAATCCCGATTCCAAGATTAATTTGTGATTAGTTAATATTGTGCTTTAAATGATAAATTGTAGTCTAAACATAAACACGTGGCTTGGTGTGAACAAAAGGTTTATTTATATTTTTACTTAAATCAGCGCTTTATTAGGTAGACCGATTATATAATTCAATAATGGAGGTTTCATCTGGAAAAATATTTTCCTTAAAGAAAATCATATAAGGATTTCATTATTAACTCTTTGAATGTTGATATCAATTCACCGTGGATACATCTCAGAAATCTAACATCAGCCCACCCTCGGACGTTAGCTACTATTTGTTTTTAAAGAACACATCACTTCCAGCTCGCGACATGTTTTAGGGAGGGAAATGTTGTAACAACTGTTCAAAATATGTATACACGCTATAAAATATGCATATGCATTTATTAAAAAAATCACGTGAAATTTCAAAATAGTCCTTATGTTCCAAGTTGGTTGCCATTTTCGACTTTTCTTTCACAGAATTTTACCCACTAGAACGATTCAGTAGATTTTCATTTGGACATATTATGTCGTCGCAAATGACCGGCTGTCCGTACGCCTGAATGTCTGGCCATACTGATGTTTGTTTGTGGACAGTCTAGAGGTCCCATTGGTTATCCGATTTTGATAAATGCAAGGAGATATATTTACTTTCAAATGATCTCGGATAGGTTTGATTTTGTTGAGTATATAACCGCGACTTCTTGGATTATGGCCCGTGCCTTTTCCACATAATTGTGAAATATCCACAATCCTAGCCAAAACTTGTTTATATTCTTCCTGTAATCTTATTATATACATGTACGTTAATACTCGATATACATGTATATTGATAATTATAATACATGTTTATATCATTTATGTATCTTGCTTTTCGGAAGCCGATTTCTATAAGCCTTTGGCTTGTTTCGGTATCCTGTGAATAAAATGTTGTTTAGAAAAAAAATATATTCACAATGACCCTTCCAGAGGCCACAATGTTTGGTTCGATCCAAATAAAAGATCAATAGTCTAGAGGTCACACTGGTTATCGGATTTTGATTAATCGCAGGACATATTTTTCCAAAAGATCTCGGATAAGTTCGATTTTAGTGAGTATAGGGCCGCAACTTTTTGGGATATGTTCCCTGCCTTTTATCCATAATTGCGAAGTTTGTGGACCCTTCCAGAGCCCACAATATTTGGTTCCATTTTGGCGGTATCAGTCCGCGACTTCTTGGATTATGGCCCATGCCTTTCATGCAAAATAAAAATTGTACAAAGGTTTTGGACTGTCTTATGCGCACGATTGTGCACATATATGAAACTTAAAATATATGTTAAAGATCAATAAAATAATATGAAAATTTAGTGTGATTTTATCGACAAAAATGATATTTCTTTGATCGAAAATCAACAATCTAGAAAATCTTGGATTTTCGAATTTCTAATAAGTTTTTCTGAAAGGGTAGTCTTCAAGGAATATTTGTGCCGTTTGTGGTACTTGTATCCAAATTTGAAAGATTTACCTGATATTATGCAGTTATCTGGTGCACTATTATTCTTCCAAAGATCGAAACACGTATTCTTGTCTGTTGTGCAGTGTATGGAGAGGGACAGGGAACATGTTTCTGATCGCTCCGAATGGAATGAGGTGCACCATTTTGTATTTAAAATCTTATGTTGATACAAACATTTTCAACATCCCTAACACAATGTAAAATTTACATAGACCAGGCACATTTTATGATGTCCCATACGATGAAGGTATCTAGTAACTTGCACTAAATGTGGCACATGGATTCTGTATGTAAGACTCTTAATTGAATCATACTTTATCAGGCTGATATAGTGTGGATATGGTAGGGGAGATTATCAATGGTAGTTTTGTACGGATGCATTCTTCTTTGTACATTGGGCAAAAGAAGAAAACGTGTTGTGTATTTTCCATTTAGTAGCCCCATTCACATGAAGGGTTTTCAGAGACATCTATTTGAAATTTATCTAATTGTCATTGAAGCATATATTTAAAGAATAATTTGCATTTCTAATATTAGATACCGAAAACACAATTTAAATATATATGATTAATATAGATAATATAGATTTATTATTTAAAAACATGTTAAGTAAATATAGATGAAAGGTACTGAGTTGACTATCAGCTGTGTATGCAAACATTTAATCAGCTTGTTAATTAACAATAATTAACTAGTAAACTGTCTTGATTGACTTGTATCACTCCTGTCCAAGATTCTGACCAAGGTGACACTACTGAAGTCTATATAATAGACGAACGAAGTATTATTGTAATATATCATTCAACTGTTAATATTTAGTATATCTTTACTTTTAAATATTTAATAAAAACATGTATTCCAGTAATTCGTCTCTTATTGAAAGTAGCCAAGTTGATTACAGCTGTCGTTCGCACGGTAAAGTATATTTTATTAAAGAGTGGAAGACATTTTACAAATAAATCTTATAGTTTCATTTTTAATTAATTGATCACATACCATTTGGTTGAAACTATTATCAATGGACAGTATATCCAATGTAATATTAGTCAAAGTAGGAGGCACGAAATCTGCCATCCGAACAACAGCTAGAACAATAAACAGTCCAGAAAGTGATAAGCATACTATGCCTCGTGCTTGACACCGACCACTTACAGTTTGCTAATTACTGTTCAAATAATGCAATCTGTTCAATGTATGTTCTTCAAGCAATAATCCAATTTAATATATTTAAATGTATCAAAAGCCAATTACGAAAAAAAATATTTAGCCAGATAAATTATAAATTATGTATGAAAAATTATTTTTAATTATACGTTATTTTTTTTCTCTCCAGGTAACATAAGTCTGTCATCTGGATATGAATCTTGTTACAGCTGTCAATCAGAAAGAGATGCCTTCCCAGCACCATGTGATTCTACTAAAGAAATGATGGTGTTTAAAAGTAGAGAATCTTTGTGTGATAATCTAGATTATATTCTCTCTATGAGTGAATTATGTGATGTGGTGTTTTTAGTAGGAGAGGAAAAGATACCCGTTTATGGTGTAAAAGCTATTTTAGCTACCAGAAGTCGCGTTTTATATCAGTTGATTCTTCACAACCAACGTGAGGTCAAGCTCAATAAGAAGAAGGTTAAAGGTGAAAAGTTGAAAGGTAAACTGGTGATAGAGATGAAGAATTATGATGAAGAAGTATTTAGAAGATTTATCAGTTTTATTCACTGTGGTAAAGTTAATGTGGATATTGACACTGTTATAGGTAAGTAATTCACTTTGTAACATTGGCCTAAATATCACCATAACTAACTTTTACAATATTTATATATTTCATCGCCATGTTAAAAGTGTTAATATCGCCCAAGCGGGATTTCAGTTGACATCATTCGCATGAAACTCGGCTTTGGTCGATCGCCATTTCTTTCTTTATAAGAAAGGAATTTTATTCGATGGCCAAGTAAGTCTCTGATAAGTATTTTCGGTGTTTCAATATAAAAAACAACTGAAAAACAATTACCTTCTTGTATTTGTAATCATTATCCCAGTGTAAAAATTATTTGATGTATCTTGTCTGTGTAATGCGCATTCCCGTGTAGAATTGCTTGGATGTATCTTCTATTTATAATGAACAATTCAGTGTAGAAATGCCTGGGTGTATGCTGTTTTTGTAATGAACAATCCCATATAGAATGGCTTGGATGTATCATGTAATGAGCATTCCAGTGAAATATTGCATGGATGTATCAACACATTCTATGGTTCGATCTCCCGAATATAATTCGTATAATATTTCTAACTTTCAATATTGCAGGTTTATTCTGTGCTTCCGTAGAATTAGGAATTAAAGATCTTCGTACAGCATGCTGGAATTTCTATCTTAGATGTATTGATAATGACGTAGACGTGTTAATGACGTCAGTATGTAAATATAAGAACCATAAAGCTATGAAATTCATCTTGGA